AAGCTTCATGCATCAACAGTTTAATACTAGAAATAGTACAATAAAGCAAGTAACAACCACACTGATGATGCATTTCAATTAATTTAAATATATACATAATAGATAGAAATATCTTTGATGAAGGGAAGCCTTCAGAGGTAATAGATACTCTACTACAGAATGTTCCATTCCATCCCATCTCTCTCAAACTTCTAGTAACAATACATTAAAATACCAGACAATTTGGATTATATCATCATATTCTCTCAAACTAGAGTCTGTACTTTTAAGAAACAAAAGACAAACAACAATCATATCTGTAATGAGGTACAAGTAATACCACAGAAATCACACCATGTTCTTCATCCATTTGATATCAAGCCAGCTTCCCCACCTTCAAATACATACAACCAAATCAAACGCTGATTCAGCCGTCTGTAAGTTGTATATACCAAAAATTGTAACACACCCACCAACCCAGTTTTCATGAATAAGGGCTGGAACAGAATGCAGACAGTCCTCATTTAGTGGCCACAATCAGGACCCGCAACTCATTTGTTAAGAAAAAATGACTGCTAAGTAAAACCACAATTGTGCTTACTTCAGCTTTCCTGAGGACTGACTTCAAAGTTACTTTTTATCACTGTCATAACTTCAAATAGTTGCTAAATGAGGCAATTGCTAAACAAGGATTACATGTGCAGTACTATTAATCCTCCAAGGAATGAGTGGGATCTGTTGACCCACAGCAAGAAATCAAAATGTAATTCAGAACAACTGTTGTAGAATTTTTTATTATTATTACATTTGTCTGCTGCCCATCTCACCTCAAGGAAAATTAGGTAGCATAAAACATTTTCCCCTCATCACAACATCTGGAGTAGTTTATTACACATATTGCACAAAATTATAACATGTATTCTTTAGTTTTGGTCTAGTATAGCATGTAAATCTACCAGCTAATTATATTATGTAAACCCAGCTAATTGCTAATTGAGTAATCCAGAAAGAGTACCCATGGAACCCAGAACCAGGTCATAAATTACCATTTCACAAAACTCAGACGAAACCCATTAAGTAGCACAGGTTCCTACCAACATGATGGTTAGTCCTGATCACCCATGTTTGGATCTGAAGTCAAGAACTAAAATATCCTTTATTCTACTAATTTTATGAAGCTGATTTTACAGCTGAAACTTTGACAGTATTTTTACAAATATTTTAAAAGGATTTTGTTAAATTTGACATATTGCTTTACATTTCCAGGATGGAAAGATGACAGGAACACCTCTTGGACTTTTGAATGCTTTGTTTTGAATGAATGTCAAAGGCAGCAAGCTCAAGCCAGACTAAAGCTTATTTGGTAGGAAAAGTATGAAGAGGCAGATGATCTATAATGCTAATAAACAAAACCCAATCATCAAAAATATCACTAGATTCCAACCTGTGGTACATGATAAATAGTGCCAGAAGAGTACATTTATTAGATTACAAGACTGTCCAGCTCCAAAAACATTTTGGATGGCTTAACATTGTAAAAGAATACATAATATAAAATAAAGCCATACATTAAATGCAATGTCCCAAATCTCCTGACAATGCTAGAACTCATGAAAAGTTTGGCATTCTCACTGGAAATCTTCTAAAGTAAGGGTGTCAAACTGCCGGCCCAGCGGGTCAGATGCATCATAGAGAAACCGCGCCCACCTCATTGCTGGCAATGGCAAAAAAAAGTCACAATACATCGTCGCAACACTTCACCTGATGTTGTTTGACACTCCTGTTCTAGAGAGTTCTGTCCCCATCCCCAACTGCACACTGTTTCTGCTACTGCAATCTCATGAGATTTCATCCATTTGAAAAATTAAATACTAATTGTTATTTTGGGGCCTCAAAATTATCTAAGTCTGCCTCTTGTGCACTGCAGACATATTATTATATATTTCATTATATTAATATTATAAAATAAAGAGAGCCAGTATGCAGTGGTTATGGCACCAGGCTACAAAGCAAGAAGCCATGAGTTCCCGTCCTACCCTAGCCATGAAAGCCAGCTGGGTTACTTTGGGCTAGTCATTCTTTCAGTCAAACCCACTTCACAGGGTTGTTATGGGGAAAATAGGAAGAGGAAGGTGTGTTAGTTATGTTCACTCCCTTGAGTTATTTGTAAAAGAAATAAATAAAATTATAGTCAGCATAAGGGGGAAAATGAGTGATAATTACTGAATTATGCTGCCCTCTTCTTTATCAACTCCCTGCACCAGCTATTTTGGGTTCCATTTTCTAATATCAGATTGGGAAATCTGAGAATTATCTATCTGGAGGAACCTCACTGAATCCTCTTTTAAAAAAACATTAAAAGATTTCCCCACAAGCCCTACTTTCTCCCGAGTAGAAGGATCATCCATAGCGACTATGCTCTGGTTTCCAGATTATTTTAAAAATAATTTGCAAAAGACATACCAGTATTACTAATTATTTTAAATATGAACCCCAGTCTCCTCCAAACCGATTGTCTCTGGCATAGAAGCAGCCATCCTTCAGAATAAGTCTAGTTATTTCAAGTCAAACAAACAAACAAAACAAAAAACAAAAAAACCACCCATGTGCTTTTGAGCAAGCCCAACGGGGAAGCAACTGCCGCACTAACGGTTCATCCATTTGCAGTCGATTACCATTTACAATGCAGTCCCTCAGCTGACACCGACAGAATTGCTACTTAATGGTTTGCTCAGGCAGAGAGGAAAATAAGATGTACCCCGCCGGATTACAGCAACACATTTCAAAAACAGCAAAACTCCACCTTCGAGATTAACGTGGACTAATCTCTTGCTTTGCGTATCATGACTATTCCTTTAAAATATGTAGAATAGCGCGTTTTGGAATGGGAGGCTATAACAAAATCTAAAAAAAAAAAAAATAGCAATAGGCTCCTGGCAGTTAGCAGACGATTGAAATAGCAATACACTGAACAAAGGGCGTAGGGAAATATAAGAATGCAAGAAAGAAACAGGCACCCTTTTAAAGTCCTCAAACGCGAGGCACATTTACTCAGAAAGAAGTGGTCCCAAAAGTGCTTTTTCCAAAAGACAACTGGACTTTCTTGGGGCTTTTTTTTCCTTTGAAAACATTTCGCTTCTCATCCCAGAAGCTTTTTTTTCTTCTATCTATTCAGTTGCATCAGAAGAGAAACGTTTACAAAGAAAAAAACGCAAGAAAGTCCACTTGCCTTTTGGAAAAAGCACATTTGGGGCAACCAAAATCCGGATGATTGAGAATCTCTCAATATAATGGAAAGACTGGAACCAAAAAATTTGCTTGCGCGCTCGAGAGTTGAATTTGCTCGGAGCGTGAACTTTTCCAACACAAGCGCGTCTTAGTCTCGAGGAAACCCGCACGGCTCATGCTGGTAGATTACGCTGGCAATTCTTTGCCACAAGTGAGGTGTGGAGAACCAAACCTCACAGGGTGGGAATTTTTGAAATACTGCAAGGGGAATACCAGCAACAATTCATTCCGCTTCCCCCGTGTAGGAGTCCCCTCCCTCCTACTAATCCAGGGACTACTACTACTTCTTCTCCATTCTACTTCTATTCTATTGCGCTCTATAGTTAGCAATAGAGTAACCAACCACGCCGCTTCTTCCCGCTCAGGAACTCGGGTCGCTTCAATTCGGGGACGGACCTACTATTTGGAAGTCTGACGTTTGGTTTAATAAAAGTTACTCCTCCAGAAGGCGCCCAGGGGCCCTTTAAATCCGGGCTTCTCCACCGGGCAAGCCTTGCTCCTCGCAAAAGCGATACTTGGACGAGAACAGGAAGAAACGTTCTCTTTCATTTCGGCCAACGGGATAGATGCACCGGGAGAAGCTGCTAAAACTTAGGCTGTCTCTTTCTTTCGTTCCCCCCTTTATCCTGGCCACTGAGGACGTAGACAAAGCCTAAAGCCCGCGGCTTCCCTATTCCACCCACCTTCAAACGGCTTCCTCTCCTCGCCCGCGATGAAGCACTTCTGAGGAACAAAGGCTCCGCCACCCCGCCGATTCCGCTCCAGCGGGATGAACGCGGACACTGCAGCGAAAGCAGCCGAAGCCACCGGCCACTCCCCCGCCTTCTGCTCCAGCTGGTGCGAGGCGTTTTGATTTGCGAAGTCGCGTATGAATGGAGCCGGGGGCGGAGCCCGCGGAGGAGAAAAGTTAAGTCCTCAGCAGAGGAAAAGGAAAGGAGGCTTGCGGAACGAAAAGAGGAATGATAGTCTTTCTGGGCCCACGGTGGCGACGTAGGGCTGTGTACATCTGCAATTTAGGACGTTTTGAGAACCAAAGGCAGCCGCAGAGTATGAACCGACTAAGATCGAAATATAGCAATTTCCATTGAAGAAAACTCTTCTTTGAAACTAAAATAGTTGCGAAGGATGCGGGATAGACTACAGCAGTGGCGAAGACATCTTACAAAAAGTTCAGCAATAACTTTTGGAAGTACAATTAAAGTGACCCAAAGGTGCTTTTTTTTTTTTTAAGGCAATTGGACACTCTTGGTTTTTTTTTCCCCTTTCAAAACGTTTTGCTTCTCATCCAAGAAGCTTCTCCACTGGTGGAGAATGGGAGGATTTATGACTGAAAGAATATACCTGTATATACTTCCATTCCCCATCAATTAGTAGCTTCTTGGAGGAGAAGCAAAACAATTTCAAAGGAAAAAAAAACAAAGAAAAGACCAGTTGCCTTTACAAAAAAGTTTTCTTTGGAACAACTATGACCTAGATTGAGAATCTCCACAGCCATTTACAATTAAAGTGCTTTAAAATGTGTTTACTTAAACAAGTGGTTGATATACTTGTTTGCTATGGACTGATTCCAAACAATTTAATGAAGTCTAGGCTAGGGAATTAAAATTACAATATGTATTTTATATATTACTTAAGGGCAGGGAGAGATAAATGGTAAATCAGTAAATCGTTTTCTAAAGAAATTCCAATAACTTAAGTCTGTTCTCCCAAAAGCAACATCCAATTCATTTTTCTTTTCTCTTGCACACAAATTTCCACTTTTATTCTCTTACTTAGTCATAATGTAGTACTGTATTAGGTCTGCATTAGGTAGTGTTAGAGAGGAGAAAATAATTTTAAGTACAGTTAACTGAGCCACATTACACTTCAATTATACACCAATATTTAACAGAAACATTCCTCCAGAGATGAGACAACTTTATGAAAGTTCCCTTCAAAGGGAAAGGAAACCCCTACTCAGTTCATAGCAATGAGTAGATGGAACAGATACACAGGTCCAATGGTCCATTTTCATGCATAGAACCAAGGTTAACCAGCTCTGAGTATTAGACATAAGATTCTGATATACAGCCTAGTTCCTGAACTCTGTTAATAAATAGAGTTTATTGAACTACTCGGTTGCTTTAAAATATTCCTAGCAGGGATATCAAGACCTTTGGATAAAATGAGATTCTTTATACCAACTGAATATTCTTGGATATAACAAAGAGCAAAAGGAAAAAAATCAACATAACCATTTATAATTTAAGAAATATCTTCAAAAGGAGCTGCATTATAACTCCCAGTAAATTTGTCCAGTGGCATTTGATGCTGGGAGTTATAGTTTAGTAATGATCAGCACTTCATCTGTTTTTAGTCTAAGAAGTATGATAAGTAATCTGTAATTACTTTTAAAAACACAAATACCTTTTAAAAACACAAAACAAAATCTGAATGATAAAGCAAGCAGCATCGCATGCTTTGAAAAAATAGCACACCTGAAATTAGCAACACTTTTCTTATAAACTAAAGAATTACTACACATCCATCTTTCTTTGGTGGAACAGCTGAATTTTAATTATCCCCATAGATGGCATTAGCCCCTCTTCCTCGCAAGAAATGACAGATACCAATTTATTTTTTCAAGGAAACCATGATTTCAACAGGCTTTTCCCTCAGATAAGGAGCTGAAAATACGAGCAACCGGAGATGAAGGGAGCAGCTGCGTCCACAGAATGTTGGCAATCTCAGACAATTGGTGAAGAAGGCTAAAAAAAAAAAAAAAGTTCAGAAGTTAAATAAAAAAATCAAGTTAAGAAACATTTACAGATTTGTCTCCCATAATTATTGCTAGCAGTTAAGCCAGTTCATGAAGAGTGTTACTACATAGATCAATCATTGTATAGCAGACCTTTAGAACATTATCTATGTAGGTAAGGTAAGGTAAGGTAAGATTAAGATAAGGTAAGGTAAGGTAAGGTAAGGTAAGGTAAGGAAAAAAATGGGCCCAGGAAATTACAGATCTATCACCCTGACCTCAATACCTGGGAAGATGTTAGCAGTTAAGCCAATTCATGAAGAGTGTTACTACATAGATCAATCATGGTATAGCAGACCTTTAGAACATTATCTATGTAGGTAAGGTAAGGTAAGGTAAGATTAAGATAAGTAAGATAAGATAAGATAAGATAAGATAAGATAAGATAAGATAAGATAAGATAAGATAAGGAAAAAAATGGACCCAGGAAATTACAGATCTATCACCCTGACCTCAATACCTGGGAAGATTCTGGAAAAGACAATCAAACAACGAATCAGCGAACATCTAGAGGCAAATAAAGTCATTACTAAAAGCCAACATGGGTTTGTCAAAAACAGATCATGCCAGACAAATCTTATTGCATTCTTTGACCAAGTGACAAAATTAGTGGATGAGAGGAACGCTGTGGATATCATTTACTTGGACTTCAGTAAGGCATTTGATAAAAGTAGATCACAACCTACTACTTGGCAAGATAGAAAAATGTGGGGTAGACAGCATCACCACCAGATGGATCTGTAGCTGGCTGACTGGCCATACTCAGCGTGTGGTCCTCAATGGAACTGCATCTACATAGAGGGAAGTGTGTACTGGGGTGCCCCAGGGCTCTGTTCTGGGCCCAGTGCTCTTCAATATCTTTATCAACGATTTGGATGAGGGGATAGATGGGGAACTCATCAAATTTGCAGACAACATTAAGCTGGCAGGAATAGCCAACATTCCAGAAGACAGGCTTAAGATACAGAAGGATCTGGACAGACTTGAACACTGGGCACTAACTAACAAAATGAAATTCAATGGTGAAAAAAGCAAGGTTCTACATTTAGGCAAGAAAAACCAAATGTACAGATATAGTATAGGGGGTACCTTGCTCAATAGTAACTGTGAGAGGGATCTCAGAGTCCTAGTGGACAATCACTTAAATATGAGCCAGCAGTGTGCTGCAGATGCCCAAAAGGCCAACACAGTGCTAGGCTGCTTTAACAGAGGGATAGAATCAAGATCACGTGAAGTGTTAATATCACTTTACAATGCCTTGGTAAGGCCACACTTGGAATACTGCATCCAGTTTTGGTCACCGCGATGTAAAAAAGATGTTGAGACTCTAGAAAGAGTACAGAGAAGAGCAACAAAGATGATTAGGGGACTGGAGACTAAAGCATATATGGAACGGTTGCTGGAACTGGGTATGTCTAGTTTAATGAAGAGAAGGACAAGGGGGGACATGATAACAGTGTTCCAATACCTCGGGCTGCCACAAAGAACAGGGAATCAAGCTATTTTCCAAAGCACCTGAAGGCAGGACAAGAAGCAACGGATGGAAACTAATCAAGGAGAGAAGCAATCTAGAACTAAGGAGAAATTTCCTGACAGTTAGAGCAATTAACCAGTGGAACAACCTGCCCCCAGAAGCAGTGAATGCTCCAACACTGGAAGTTTTTAAGAAGAGACTGACAGCCATTTGTCCAAAATGGTATAGGGTTTCCTGCCTGAGCAGGGGGTTGGACTAGATGACCTCCAAGGTCCCTTCCAACACCATCATCATCATCATCATCATTATTATTATTATATAAGATAAGATGATAAGATGACTTTTACTGTCATTTTTTTTACTGTGGGCACACTGGCACACATTAAAAATAAATTCTGTTGCCTGCTCTCAAAAGTATACACGTACATAACACATATAAACATGCTATATACAACATATGTATATATACCTACATTCTTACATATAAATACATATAATTAATCAAACATATTAAATGTTTCTATTCACCTACTGTATGTTATGTTGTTTGTGTAGTTATGTTACTGTATATTATGAGAATCTAGGCAATTGTGATATAGTTAATACACCATGGCTAAGCTAAGGAATAGGCAACATGCACAGAGTTCCCCAGTATGCCATCTGTAGCTCTCAAAGGTGTGTGAGCATACCAATGTCTTGGTTCAGGGGTTTTCAGAATAATAGCAATAATGCTTTGCCTCTCAGTCTTAACTCCTCCTGTCTCTCAAAGGTAAAACATGGACTGGAAAGAATGTGGCTCTCCCCTTTCAGATTATCTCCTGCAACCCTCCAAAAAGTTAAGAATCTTAATTGGGTCCCAGTTTCTCAGATGTTGCTCATGTCTGGCTACACGGAATGTGTAAACCCAGCACTAAACTTTTATCACCTTTGCAATGAATTATTACAGATGTAATTGCTAATTCTTACAATAACTACAGAAATGACAAACCTTGAAAAATAGTTTTTCTTAAATCCAGCAGGAATCAAAAACAACTAAATACTGCACAAAATTATATTAGAGCCATGTGCATGCACATTTTTTTAAAATGGCAACCCTGCATGGTCTGGGTTATATGGTGAGACTATAATCTCTTTAGACAACATTGGCTGCTGAGTTCTGAGAACTAAATATTGACTAAAACTATTTGCTGAACATGAGACAGTAAGTCTGAGCTGAACTACAATGGGTGAGTGGAAGGAAATGTAAGTTTCTCATTTATATATAGAACGCAAATCAGGAGAGAAAAAGAGACACCCAGGACTCAATTTTTTCCAACCTAATGAACCAAGAGGTAAAAAGGGCTGAGGACTGCTCTGCCTTACTTTGCTCAGGGACTTTTCATGTCGCCCAATTTTAATGAGCCAGATCCCTTCTTCTACAGACCTAGTAAAGAGAGGACCATTATTACTCATATACTACAGATAGATCCTTTTACTTACCACAGGGGTATTGTGCATGAAATTCTTCTCAGAACAATACTGTCTGCCATATTGGTCTAGTTGGCGTGAAATACAGGCAGACAGACTTTTCTCCGTTTCTTTTGAACCTGAATGAGCAGACCTGAAGCCCAGCTTTTCCACAACTGGAGTCATCTTCATATCAAATTTTAAGGCTTTTCTGTACTTGTTTTGGCTGTTATTCCCACTGGATTCATGTTCAGATTTGAGGTCAATATTCCCATCAGGATCATCACGGGGTGACATTTTTATTTCTTTAGTAATGGGAACTTCAGCTAAAAATACAAATATTAGGATTTTATATCAATGCAACAGGGGAAAAAACAAGCTAGAAAGACAATCCTTTTGGTTAAATACAGAAGGTGTAACAGTTAAGCAAGATTTTTATATCTATATTACAGTTTAAACATAGATTTTTAAAATGCATAACATTGATATCCAAAGGGGACAATTGTTATGTTATCAAAGACAGAAATCAAAACTAAATTAAATTCCTGATCTGTTTTCTAATGAATGAAATCTTTCTTGCTCCAGTAATGAAAGGCAATTTTTATAATTGTTTTCAAGATGATTAACATCATTTGAGTTTAATAACAATGAATCTGAATAAACATTTCACGAAGAATGCAACTTCATATTACTCAACATTGGATAGGGATTGGCAATTATGATTTTGATGTTTTGAAAAGAGTTATTTACACATGATGGGAAGGGCAATCAAGACATTCGCCATTGTTCAAGAAGAAATGCTGCTGACTTATCTGTTCATAAAGTCATTCAAAATGCTTTAGTTAGATTTGTGCATAAGAACAACTCATCTGTATATATTTGTATCACACCAATTGAATCCAGGATACTAGTGCCCCTATGTGGAAAATTAGCAGCCATATTTAATTGTATTGTTGCGGGTTTTCTCGCGCCCAGCGGTCTCCCATGGGTGTTGAAGAACAGACACGTACACGTGGTTTCCTCGGGATGGGAGCCTCGAACAAAGACGAAGCATCCCTTTTATTGTGTTATCAGAAGGCGGGTTTATAGGCACCTGGTGACCACCTTACACCAACCACATTTGTTATGACACAGCATATTAGCATATTACACGTGCTAACTTTGTTTTGCACACGCTACTATACAGCTGTTGCACACGGCACTAACAAACACCAAAACAACATTCCCTTGCACCGCACGGCACAAACTTGTTTACGCCAATCTATTTTCTCTTCTGACTTCCGCATACCTTGGCCTACTGCAGCTGGTGACTCAGCCTAACAGGCCAGATAACCCAATGACTCCAACATCTCCTACTTTTCTGTTTTATTTAAAAAATAAGGAGGTTGCGCTTTATAGGAAGTCATCCTCAGTGTCGCTTGGCAAAGTGAAGGCCGGTTTGGTTAGCAAGGGTAACTGAACTGCAGTGATAGGTGTAGTTACTAAATTGACCTGTTGGTGGGTGACAGTTCCTGAAGATTACAGTTTATTGCAGAAAGATGGTTCTTCAGGAAATTGCATTATCATATCCTGCTTCCCAGGTGATGGGGCTGACTCCTAGAGTTTGGGTGGGGTATGCAGATCTTCTCTTTTGTCTTCTTGATTGCTCTGGCTCCAACTTTCTGATGGTGTTACATTTGCATCTGTATGGGCCTAGCTCTTGTTTGGGGCAGATAGATTTGGGGCCAGGTTTGGTTTTTAAAAAGTCCTTTTGAGGAAAAATATATTTTTCTGCCCTTTTTAATATTTCCTTCTGGGGGGGCTAACTTCCATCAATATCCCCACTTTGTGCCTTAAGTGTGTAAATATATGACATTAAAATTGATCTGGTCAGGGAGACTTGGTAGGCAAGCTTTTAAACTGTTAAGCAAAAAAAGAAAAAGAAGACATTAATGGAGGCAGCAGAAAAAGATCCCTTTAGTGGCTCCCAAATTTGTTAGGTGGAAAAGAAATTTATAGTATCCAATATTCTGTGCCAATCATTTTCAAATGTTGGATGTCACCTTTAGCTTCCAGTCAGGTTTGCATACCTCCCAAAATTCTTCACAGCCATGGTTTTCCTTAGTACATGACCACTGGCTGCCCAATTTCAAGGGTTGTTTCCTGCCTTAGCTCTTAATTCAGTGCATCCAGGTTTGTAATGTCCAATATGCCAGTCTATTAAATTTTCTTTAAATTGCACGTAATGAGTTCTAGGAATTCAAATCTGAGCTCAACAGTGCAAAATATTCAGGGCTGAAGTTTGGGATATTCCCTGTTGCTTCCTTAGTCAGGGCATATGAATTGCAAATCACCTGAGGGGGCCTAGTTCCCTCCCCCTTGGAATCTGTTGGAAGTTGGTCCCACAAAGCTTTGGTGCAATAGAGCAAAAATCAGCCTGAGGGGAACTTTACTAAAGGTAGGTGGAGGGGATAGACTCTGAATGGTGTGAATGGTGTATGTGTGCATATGCAGCTGCATATGCAGCTATTTCTACAAAACAGGCAATACAAACATTCTGGAAAAGTTTTCCCTCCCACCAGATAGAAGTCCAAGATGTTCAGTATTTGTTCTGCCACATATTCCCATCTCTCCATTAATACATTCAACTGGCTTGTTACAATACAAATGGGGCAAGAAAGAAAAGTTTACAATGAGTTTCCACCCTCCCCCCATAGTCTTAATTTTCTCTTCTGAGGCTTCACATGGCACCACCTTCCTTCTGCAGCTCTCACAGGCAGCTGGGGAAATGGTAGGACTTGGGAAGATGCATGGTGGCTTTTTAGTGGATGGCTGGATTCAAACTCAATCCCATGGCTCAAATGGATGGAGGCAGCATCTGGGTCTGTGTGTTGTGCTTCCAAAGGCTTGGGAGAGGGTTTCAGGGCTGAAAGATACAAGAACAAGGTCTCCCCCCCCCTTTTCTGGACAGACTCTACCAGGAGAGGCAGACAAAAGGTTTGGAGAACAAAGAGCAGGAAAAGAATTGGAAGGGGGGTAGTTTGCAGGCAGTTTGAAAATGCTGAAAACTCCAAATAATTTTAAAAGCCTAATATTTTAAGGTGTGCAACTTGCCAAGGGTAGGAGAACATTTATTCTAAAATAGACCACATCATTTTAGAGATTAGAAAATGCTTATTTGTTGCAGAAAAGTTTCATAGTAGCATCACCAATAAGTGATAGGATACGAAAAGTAACTTTAAAAAGTTATTTCCCCACACAAGCAGACTTGAGTTTCAAAAGGCTCTTGTAGATAGACACACAGAGAGAAGGAGGAATACAAACAAACAAACACAATTCTTTTTCTTCACTCTGTTTGTTGGCCAGACAAACAGAGTGGGTTTTTTCCTTTTTGTGGCTTATTTTAAGCAGAATTTCTAGCAGACTTTAAAATTCTTTTTCCTTTGGATTTGAAACAGTTAACAGTCACAGTTTTACACATCCTGGTCATTCATGAAAATACTTTCCTAATTTAACCCACACAGACATTTTTAGGGATCCTCCTTCGGGCTATGCAAGGCAATTTAGATATACATATTTTAAGAGGAGGATCAAATCCCTTTTAGTGGGAAGCAGCAAATCTTTCCCATTGTTTTTCCTGATTTAATTATTGATGACTTGGTCAATTCCCTAAGTTCTGGGAGGTGCGCAACCTGAGGCTTAGAGAATTCTGTCCCCATACTCACGGTTTTGGGAGGGTGCTTCGTCTAGCTCTGACGACCGGCCCTGAGTTGCAGTGAGCTCTTCCGCTGAGTAAGTAAGAGGATACCAAGAGATGTAATATTTTGGGAGGGTGCTTCGTCTATCCTGACGACCGGCCCTGAGTTGCAGTTTTGGGAGGGTGCGTCTAGCTGACGACTGGCCCTGAGTTGCAGTTTTGGGAGGGTGCTTCGTCTAGCTGACGACCGGCCCTGAGTTGCAGTACCCTGAGACGTGCTCAGAAACTTGAATCACGTCGGGGTCACCATTTGCGGGTTTTCTCGCGCCCAGCGGTCTCCCATGGGTGTTGAAGAACAGACACGTACACGTGGTTTCTTCGGGATGGGAGCCTCGAACAAAGACGAAGCATCCCTTTTATTGTGTTATCAGAAGGCGGGTTTATAGGCACCTGGTGACCACCTTACACCAACCACATTTGTTATGACACAGCATATTAGCATATTACACGTGCTAACTTTGTTTTGCACACGCTACTATACAGCTGTTGCACACGGCACTAACAAACACCAAAACAACATTCCCTTGCACCGCACGGCACAAACTTGTTTACGCCAATCTATTTTCTCTTCTGACTTCCGCATACCTTGGCCTACTGCAGCTGGTGACTCAGCCTAACAGGCCAGATAACCCAATGACTCCAACAATTGTAAAATGTTGCATTTGATAACACAGAGTAGTAATAGTTCTGGAATTATGGTGGAATAGCGCCATTCCAAACTTCACATGTTGCAAAAAGGAGTTTTATTCTGATAGCAGCATATGCATTTCCAAGTGTTCTGATCCTCAAATGTACCAGTATGTTGCTAAGCACATAAAATTAACATTTTTACTTACATAGGTCTTTAGTTTCATAAATAAATAACTCAAGGTAGTGAACATACTATTATTCCTTCCTATTTTCCCACAACTATCCTATGAAATGAGTTACACTGAGTATGACTAACAAAGTCATTCAGCTGGCTTTCATGCCTATGGGTTGGACTAGAACTCACTCTCCTGGTTTCTACTCTAGTGCCTTAACCAGTAAACTAAATTGGCTTGTAACTAAGAGGCAGTCAAATGTTCCTCCACTAACACAGTTTGGATATAAAAGTACAATTTCAGTAGCTTTTGTTCTAGAGCATGGGTGTCAAAACTCGATCACGTCACGTGATGTATCGTAATGTATCGTGATGTTTTTATGTCTTTGCGGAGCCAGGGTAGATGTGGCCTGCATGTGACGCATCTGGCCCACAGGCCACCAGTTTGACACCCCTGTTCTAGAGCAATTAGCCATAGGATCCCAAGAGTCTTTGCTTCAGGAAATCTGCATTGACAGGTCTACCAAATGTCAATCTACAATAAGGCAGCAACTTAAGGTTGTCTTTGGACACAGCCTAAAAGCACAATACCCTCTGTTTTACAATCAGTTTAACAACTGCAGTCTTCCAAGATCTTTCTCCCTATGTGAAAAAAATAAAGTTAAAAAACACCAAAGAAGTAAACTATTTAAAAGCTAGTTCACCATGTCTATGTTAACTCCGATTCCCTTGACACAACCAACTTTGGACACAAACATATATGCACAATCATAAGCAGCTGCATAACACTTAACTACTATCCTTATCTTCCTTCGGCTATCCAACTGAGACCAGCTAATAGCAGCAACTAACTGCCCCTTCTTTCTCGTTGCTTTACTTGTAGGGAATTCTTTTTACAAGGAACAGCCAGCTTTAAAACATTAATTAACTCCTGTAAGTTGAGAACAACAAACCTTTAAATAAAAAAATCTCTAGAGGAGGAAAAGTATGGTGAAAAGATAAAATGAAATCTTGCACACAAAAACCACTTACTCTTCAGCTCCAGAGGAAACACTGCAAATATTGCCTTCACATTTCCACAGTATTTCCTCTGGAGCATGAACCAAGAATTATTCATCTCAGCCCCCAAAGACTTGTGGAAGCCCCTATAGTACTATAGTATCATCAGGATACAGGTAATGGCATTAACCTTATTTCAATGCACCCACCAATTGGTGGAGAGGCCTGAGTCACTTTTGACCAGTTCTATTTAAATGACTTGGCATATAATAAAATTCAAAATATTTAGTTTTCTTTTTTATGTACTACATATCACCATTTTTAAGTGAAGCAGATCCAATTAGAATAGACATATACCGTAATGTAGTGCTTATTTTATAGCCATGCTAATATTTTGGATATCATGGGATATAAAAAAGCAATTTATAACATCCATCCCCATCTTGGCACTTCCTGGATACCTTGTGCTACAACTTCCTAAAAATCACATTAAGTGAAAACTGTAAAAATTGTAGTCCAATATGGCTTACCTTCATCAAGTAGATGTTGAAACCAAAAAATCAGTAAGATCAATAGTATCCCCAAAGGCAAACAAAACCAGAAGAAGAGAAAAGGAAATGTTAGATCATTGATTAAAGGAACTAGGGGATAGTTCATTTTTGATTCAAAATCCAGCTGAACTCACTATGCGATGACTTCCTAAGTTTTTGCTGTGTGTCCCTAAATACCTTTATATAACTACCCTGTTTTACTACATCATGACTTGAATCACAAAGCAGTTATGCTATCATTCCAACACAGCTGATATTAAGACTATTAAGAGGGGAATGTTACAGATGAAATGATAGAGAAATTGCAGTGCACCTTGTATCTTGAACTTTAATTTGAAATAGAAAAATAAAAATGGGCAATAGTTACGCTGTAAAGTCATTTTACATAAATATCCTATTTAAATATAAAGGTAATGTAAAAAAAACCTGCTCAAATAGTTGATGTATTTAGGAGCATATCTCTTCAAGATTTTCCAATAGCTGGATTAATAAAAAAAATGCTAAGTCAAGAGTAACTGAACCATGGTTTACTGAATTTTGCCAACTGCCTGAGTTTTACAAAATTTATAAATAAACAGCATTCTTTGGATTAAAATAGCACAGTACCACAAACCAACCAACCCAGTTTAGGCCATCTTGTTTTAAAAATACAACTGCTATCAATACAGTGAACTCCCACAAAAATTCTATAGAATTTCAAACAACACCCATTATGGCTTTTTACAATATGAACTAGGTCACTATATCATAGGTGGACAATCTAAAAATTGACAGCAGTTTATTCCCAGTTTGAAGTGGGAAATACATGAAATTATAGTGCAGGACTCTCCACTTAGACGTCATTTCACCCATGTGATTAATATGGTAGCATGGGTGAGAGGAATAAGTCCTGAGGAACCCTACTCTGGAGTAACTACAAGAATGATCACTTTTTCCTCCCACCCATGATGACTGGAACCACATGCTCAAGAAAGAGCAGGGACACAGCAGAATCATTCCTCGAAGCTCCAATCTTTGCAGGCCGTCCCAAAAAATGGTCATGGGTATTGTACTGTACAACTACTGAAAGATTTAAGAGGACCAAGACTAGCACATCCCCTCCTTCCAGGTCCCACCAAAAGTCATCCATCAAAGCAAGCAATGCCATTTTAATCCTATGGCCAGATATGATGCTCAATTATAGAAAATCCAGAAAATGGTTCCTCCAAGATCCTGGGTAGCTGAATCTCCAACTTCTTCTCCAAAACATTCCCTATAAAGGAAAGTTAGAGATTACGTGATAGTTGCCTAAAATGGCTAGCCAAGAGATATCTTCTGAAGATACTATAAATCAGACATGTCAAACTTGCGATGTCACATGTTGCACTGACATATCGGCACTGTTTTGCCATTGCCGGCAATGGGGTGGGTGCGGCTTCTGTATGACGCGTCTGGCCCGCAGGCTGGCAGTTCTTAATTTAAAGATGGCAGCCATCAACTGTTACTCATCTCCAGAAATCCAGCTTCACTTCTTTTTAGTAAGGGAACTTAGTAAATTCTAGTCAGAAAATTTACATTAACACATATTTAAAGTACAAAAGAAGTTTGAATCTCAATAAATCTATAATAGCTCTTAATATTGTTCTTCTATCTTCCCTAATCAGTTAGCCTTCAAACATGCTAATCAAAAGCAGATCCTATTTCCAACATTAAATGCGGGCGGGGGGGGGGAGGAATATTATATTTTATTCAATGGTTCTCTAGTTCAGGTTCTCAAGTGCCTTTAAATATGTAGTTCAAAATCCCGCTACTTCAGTAAAGAGAGGTTTTGGATGTATATGCTTGCACATGTGAATAGAATAGAATAGAATAGAATAGAATAGAATAGAATAGAATAGAATAGAATAGAATAGAATCTGGAAGGGACCTTGGAGATCTTCTAGTCCAGCCCCCAGCTCAAGCAGGACAACTTATACCATCTCAGACAAATAACTATCCAGACTCTTCTTAAAAACTCCAGTGATGGAGCGCCCACGATTTCTGAAGGCAGGCTGTTCCACTGATTGTCTTCACTGTTAAGAACTTTCTCCTTAATTCCAGGTTGCTTCTCTCTTTGATCAGTTTCCAACCGGTTTCTTGTCCTACCTCCTGGTGCTTTGGAGAATAATTTGACCCCCTTTTCTTTGTGGCAGCCTCTCAAATACTGGAATACTGCTATCATGTCACCCCTATTTTTTCATTTCTTTAGACTAGCCAAACCCAAGTCCTGCAACCGTTCTTCATGTTTTAGTCTCCAGGCCTTTGATCATCTTAGTTGCTCTTCTTTGAACTTTTTCCAAGGTCTCAATATCTTTTTGTAGTATGGTGACCAAAATTGATTGTAGTATTCCAGGTGTGGTCTCACTATGGTTTTATAAAGTGGTATTAATACTTCACGTGATCTTGATTCTATGCCTCTGTTTATTCTATGCTTCTGTTCAGCAAAGTGGCAAATCACTCTTCTAATCTAAAGCGATTTTTCTTACCTTCAGGAATTTTAACATGCTAGTTGGGGGAATTCTGGGAATTGAAATCCACACATCTTAAAGCTTCTCTTCTAAGGGAAAAGGGGAACCGGCGATGAGCGCAGGTTTTACTGGTCTCCATGGTGATTCGTCTCGGGAACGGAACACTCCATTGAAGCCTTTGTTTCGAGTCGGAGAAAAGACGGGGAGGGACCTGACTGGCGGCAAATTATTTCTCGCGCCATGGAGGCAGCCGGAGGCGTGTTCCCGTTCCGCGACGTCCGCTGGGACCCGGACCCGATGCTGGAGGCTCATGCGGCGGTGCGCCTGCCGGCTCCGGTTCCTCTGGTGCTGGATAACGGTTCGTTCCAGCTGCGTTTGGGTTGGGCCTGCCCGCACGCCGCGGTGCCTGGCGAGCCCTTGCTCCAGTTCCGCTCCTTAGTTGCTCGAAGTCGGGGAGCTCGCGGCGGCGCTGGCTCGGAAACACAGGTGGGCAACGATCTGGGCAGCCCCGAGCCCCTCCGATGGCTCCTCCGCTCTCCTTTCGACCGCAACGTGCCTGTTCAGATGGAGCTGCAAGAGCAACTCTTTGATCACGGCTTCCAGCGCCTGGGCGTCTCCTCGCAGGTAAGGAAGGCAGAACTTGCGTGCCTGTTGATTCAGCCGCGATAGATGAGAAGCTTTGCGCCGGTTTTGACTCGCAGCGCAGTTGTGATAGGGCTAACGGCAACCGCTTGCGTTGATTTGCCGGGACGTAAAGGAAATGGAGTGAGCGGTGAGATTTGCACCGAAGGCCTCTCTTTGGCTCAACAAAATTTCCTGCGCGGGGTCCACGTATTGCCTCACTAACTGATGTTCAATAGAATTCATTCCTCAGTGACTATAAGTTCAGTAAGACTGGAACATACAAATTAGTAACTTGGGTAAGACCGGTAAGTGTCCTTAAAACAGCAACAACAAAATATTCTTCCAAACACATAAGGCTTTTCTTCAGGGGTATGGGCTGGTCAGATAGCAAAAGCAGGAATATAGAAGTGGGCTCTGAACTACAGATGTGTATTCAAGATCTGAAGGATTATGTGTATTATATATTAAGTATGTTCACCACCTTGAATTATATATTAAAAAGGATGCATAAAAGCATTATCTTGTTAAAGCACGTTTGGAGCATCTTTTGTATATGTATAGAACATAACATTACATTTATAAGGGTTAAATGAAAAATAACACCCCCTTCTCTAAAATTTCAGTTTAAATAGGATGTTTTAATAAATAAGGAAAAGACTTCTTGAAATGAGCCAGTTTGATCTAGTGGTTAATACAACAAGCTAGAAAACTAGAGACCATGAGTTAAAGTCCTGCTTTTGCTATGAAAGCCAGATGCATGACTTTGGGCCAATCATTTCTTGTTGTGGGTAAAATAGGAAAGTATGTTGGACATGTTCACTGTTTTCAGATATTTGTAAAAATAATAAAGGTGGGATACAAATATATTAATAATAAATGAACTCTTTTATAACCTGCATATACTTTTCCACATAATCATCTGTTTGCTACACTTTTGGGAACAGTGGACAAACTTCTTAAAACTGTTATTGAAGAACTCTATGGTCCTTTTTGATCTTTTAATTTGAGTCAGACAAACACCCATGAGATATTCCTTCAATTTTCCAAAAAGGTAGAATTTGCAGGGCACCAAATCTGGACTATATGGCAAATGGTATAAAACAGGGAGATCAACCTTACAGTTACTATTACTCCCACCTTTTGTATATTTGGTTAACTCAAGTGGTAAGCATATCCTAACATTCCTATCTTCTATTTCTCCACAACAACAGGTCGATTGGGATGAAAGAGACTGATTGGCCCAAAGTCTCCTAGATTCTAGGCCAGCACCTTAACTACTACATCAAGTTGGCTCTTGAGTGGCTTGTGGGGTATGAGGCCTGGCATTGTCACACCTTCTTGTGCTTCTAAACTCCAGTTAATTGTTGTTTCAAGGTGTTGAGTGTTGCAATGTAGAACTCCAAGTTGATAGTGCTGTCAATTTCACCATGTGAATAATACCATTTACATTACTAACATCTGTACCTCAGTTTTCCTGCTGCAACCTGGACTTAGTATTTTTCTTTTCTTCAAAGGTAAAGCTTTATGATTTGTTAGGAACCGACCCTATTTTGGTCATAATAATAGGCTCATGTTATTGTAACAACACAGGTATTAATAATGCTATTATTAATATTATTAGTATTACTTTCATACATGACAATTGCTGACAGCTGTTAAAGGTTTCATCTGTGCTATCATCATGTAAAAAATCCTCTTGCATGAACTTTATGGTATTCAAAAAGTCAAGAATTTGACACATGTTTGTGGAAAATGCCAAACTTGACAACAATTTCTCTTTGAGTGATTCATCAGCTGCCCTTAATTAGTTCATCTTTTCTCATATAAAACACGATGGTTGCTGCCACAGATTATCTGTTTTATTTTTGGTCACATAAATCAGCTCTTCACTATCTTTATATTTTTTGTTCCAGTGATACCTAGTACTAATGCCCACAGTTAGCATCATGAACAGCCTGCACTCATTGTTTAATTTCATTTGAAGGGAATTCATCAATAGTCAAAAATTGAATCAGGGCATTACTTAAAGTACAATGATCATTTCTGTCTCATGAACAGCAGCAATGCAGTCTTTTCTCACACTTTCCCCCCAAATGAAGTCAAAGAAGAGTTGCTAAAGAATGTGTCAGAGCTTCTAGTACACCAGTGTAGCCATCTGGGCAAAATATAATGTTGCAGGGCTGGCCTGCAAAAATCAGGTAACCATTAGATGGTGTCAAATGGTTGAAATTGTTTGCAGGTTGAAATTGTTTGCAGGCTAGAATGGGTAGCCCAGGCATCACACTTAGTTTGTAGAAAAGAATACCAATATATATATTGTATATTCTGCACTTAAGAGAGAGGAGAATAAATGATAGCATAAATTATGTGGAAATGCAGGATTGTCAGTCCTTGGAATTAGACACCTTCCAAATCATAAAAACGTTTTTTCCCTTTTGGTGTATATTAAATATTTTTACAAAGAGCTCAGGTGCATCTTATCCTAGCATCTTAATTCACAAATCCATATTGTTCTATAAAAAATAAAAGTAGTACCTGAGCCTTGGGCAAAAAATGTGCTCTAAAAGAGTTGGAATGAGATTAGAGTTATATTGTGCATGCATTTTCCCAGCGATTAAATTAATGGAAAGATGCAAATGCCCAGTTTGCCAAATTGCTCTCTACATGGCTAATCTGTAGAGTAACTTAGCCAGTCCAGAGCCTTTGTGGGCAAAAGTTTAATTATGAAACATTCCTATTTTCAAGAAAGAGTACATTATTCAAGTATCAGAACAGCATAATTCTCGTTTTGTAAGTGTTGCATATACTGTATAAGAAGCACAAGCTTTTTTGTTGAATGGTGCATAGAATTTGCAGTATGCAGATTACGCTTCTACAAAAATATATTACTTCCATATTTATTAATGTATATTTTAGTTTTCATATCTGTGGAAGAACACATAAGTAATAATAAGTAATACTTAGCAAGATACTATGTGTTGGGGTTATGTTATTACATGTAATATTAAATTTTTAAATCTCTAATTGCAGGCATTTGTAATAAACATCAATGACATCAACATGATGGCATGTGCATCATGAAATCTAATGTACATATGTTTGTTATGTCATTTGACGATGTCATAGTGTAGAAGTGATCACTTTATCACCCTTCACTGTCCCTACGTATGAGCCTGGCTATACTGATCTTTCTTAAATCTGTCTTGTTGAGGATTCACAGATTGTCACTTCTATCTTAATTTTGTAGAGCTGTGTTGACCATCCAGTTGTAATAACGGAGGCTGTCTGCAACCCTCTCTATTCAAGGCAAATGATGTCAGAGCTCCTGTTTGAATGTTATCAGGTTCCAAAGGTTTCTTATGGTGTGGATAGCTTGTACAGTTTCTATCATAACAAAAGGCAAGGCTGGCCTTGCAGTGGTCTCATAGTTTCTTCTGGATACCAGTGTACTCATATTTTACCAGTTTTAGATGGCAGGTGAGTTATTTCTTATATACCTATAGAATTTAATTTTTTCATGAATTACGAATAATTATCCTTTTTGTTGTGTGTGCAATTTAAAGTTCTGGCCTGGGTTTTGGGATAGTAGGTGCCTTGATAAATAACTTTCACTGAAGAATGGAGAGAAGCCTGACGCTGTCCTCCTGAATTCTTTCATTGATCTTTGATAGAATTAGTTAAGATGCTTTTCTTTGTTATATTTCTCATTGGGACTTGGGTGCTCACACTTGGGTGTGAGTTCAGTTCTATAGGAAGTATGGAAGGTTGTGTTTTAGAAATCTTTGCCTTACTTCTGTTGCATCAGGTTTTGAGCTATCTATAGGTTTTGTCTTTTTTTTTGAATACATCTTTTTAATATTTACATTACAGAATTACAGCTTTTTTTTCTAGGGATGCACCATACATGTGGCATTTTTGTCACCTTGAGGTGAGATGGGCAATAAACAAATTTAATAAATAAAATAAATACTGATGTCCACACTCCAAAAGTGGTGCTGGAATGCTGAGGGGTCTTTTAAAAGGGAGTTCAAAAGTTAGGTAAAATGTGTGCTGTAAGGCAAATTACTTTATTGCTGCTTAAAGAAATTCCCCAAATGCAAAAAAAAGACCAACATGTTTTATTTTGTGTACTGGGGGGCAGGAATGAGGTGCCTGTGATATCAGAAGTATACTGAAGGGTGACATATTGTCCTTGTTGTTATGTCCCAATCTGCATGGACATGTTAACATAAATTAGAAATATGAATTGACAAGTTGGCACAATGTCATTCTTTTTTTTTCACCTCCTTATTTCAAGAAGTAATGGAAAAACCCTAGATAAGCCTTTGTGGGCAATTTATGTTTAATGGGAAACGAGCAACCTTAAATATGCACTAGATACGATTGAAATCTGCATGTTAGAGAATGTTCTCATCTCAGTGGAAGTACAGTACTTTATTTGCATTATATTCTGCTAAACATTATAATGGTTTCTATGGTTTTGCCTTGGTGTGTTGTATAATATAGCCATTGAAGTTTATTAATGGCTATA